TCTGATATGGGTAGCTCCAATAGAAGCATTTACTTTGAAAGTACTGAATCAGAAGGGAGTGTTACTCACATATAAAGATTTATTAACTAAAGTTCAGAATATATATATATATATATATACAGTGGTGCCCCGTATAGCGAGGTTAATCCGTTCCGGATTAACCCTCGCTATACGGAATCATCGCTAAACGGGTAGGGAGCAGCTGTTCGGCGGCTCCAAAATGGCCGCCGCAATACCCAATCTTCGCAATGCGGGTTTTCCCCATTGCGAAGATCGGGTATGTTTCCGTATAGCGATCCCGAAAAAGGGATCGCTATATGGAAACATCGCTATACGGTGCACTCGTTAAGCGAGGCACCACTGTATATTGGAATATGACTTGGAGGATGAGAGGGTGAAGGAGATGATGGTAAAATGGGCACAAAATTTTGACTCCAATATTGATACTGATGAATGGACAAAGATGTGGAAAAAGAATCATAAAATGATTAAGCCAGTGAATCTTAGAGAAAATATCCTTAAAATGTTTTATAGATGGCATTTTACCCCTGTAAAACTGGCAAAAATATCAGAAGGTAACAGGAATGTTTGTTGGAAATGTAAAAAAAAATCCAGTGCCCACCGGAAACCTCTTGAAGACATTCAAGGTCCAGATGACAATGAAATCTTCTGACCTATAGGGGAAGAAAAGATGGTTAGCTAGTAGTTTTTCTTTTTGTCATTTTTGTTGTTTTGTTAATGACAGGCTAGATTGTTAATGTTTGTGAGTTTGTATGTTATAATAATAATAAAAGTAGTGGTTGACAAAAAAAAGAATGAGATGGAGTAGTGGAGGAATGATGTTTTGCTGATTCCGCAATGGGTTTAACCTGTGAGGTGGTTTTACACGTAGGTTGAGGTTTTGCTGGTTGCAAGGACTGTTCCCAGAGATGGAGTTTGAGTTGAGATAGGTGAGAGCGGAGGACTCCTCGTTTAAAATGTTTACAATGAGGGCAGGAGGAGGTTTGATGCACCTCACCTTGACAAAAAAAGGTACTTTGTGTGACTATATGATAGCGGGATCTTATTATCGCAAATCACGCAGTGCTTGAATGGGCCCAAAAGGGCCATGGACAATTAAGAAAAGAAGAAGAATGGAGGGAGGGAGGGTGCGACGGTTGGAGGCTGAGGCACGGAGGCAAAAACTAAAAATAGTTTGTAATATGTATCTTTGATTAATAATGAGAAATGGAGACAAATTTTTAAATTCAGCAGTAAAAAGACTTTCAGACTCACAGAAGATAGAAATACGAGGCTCTTCGATGCGGCGGTTGAAAGAAAACTGACGGGAGAGTCCTGGCGCCAAGGTACTTATATCAAGGGAGAGGGGTCTATTCTAATGTGTTTTTTGCTACCGCAGAAGCTCTGCGGCAGTGCAAAGAGGCTGTATGTGTTTTTTGCTACCGCAGAAGCTCTGACTATTCCGAAGAGGCTGCGCGCAGGCACGGATCACTGACAGTGTGATTCAGAGGCCACAAAGAAGAACAAGTATTCATGTCACACACAAAAGTTTCATCATCACTCCAGGAGTCTCCCTGAAGAATCTGAGGATTGTGTGAATACATTTGGGCATCCCCTGTGCAACAACAAAACCCTGTTGCCTGGCCTTCCACACCAGAAGCACCACTGGATTGCTTCCCTGAAGAACAAAGATCACCCCAGGTTATTTCATGTTTTCAGTATACACTTTCACAAACCTTGTAAGAAAATAGCCCTTGTAGGTGTGTAATACTCCTGGTGCCATCCATCTTGAATGCTTATGCAAACTGCCTATTTGTGCCTCCAAACAAGGATCCTTTCCTTGTTTGCCTTTTTTACTTGATTTTGGGGAGCAGATTCTCCCTCCTCTATTTCTATGTTCTTTTGGTTTTTTTCTGTTTTTTTTTTAATTTTTTATTTAATTTTATTATTTTTGTGCTGCTACTGCCAAACAGCTTGCCTGTGCCAGCATGCCCCCATGCGGTTATTTTTGGGGTGGTTTTCCCATGTTTTCTTTGGAATTTTTCCCTTCTTTGGTTCTTTACTTCCCTGGATAATTTTTGCTGCCTGCCTACGGGACTCAAAAAGAGAAGAGAAGGCATCAAGTGGTGCTGTTGGTGGTGATAGAGAAATATCCCCATATTCTAGTAACTTTAATTAGGGGGGCCTGATTGTATTAATTTATTTATTTGCTTGGTTGCTTTGCTTGATTTTTGGGAGGGGGGTAGTTTTGTTTTTGTTTCCTGTACATGTGTGGCTGGGTGGCCTCCATGTTCTATTTAATAAAAATAGTTTGGTAATTTTTTTTTATGTGCTGCCAAGTCAGAACTGATTTATAACGACCCTAATAAGGTTTTCAACATAAGAGAAATATTTAAGAAGTGGTTTTACTAGTTCAACCTCCTCAGGGAGTTTCCATGGCAACACCAGGATTCAAATCCAGGTCTCCAGAGTCCTAGTCTATCATTCTATTCATTGTACCATAGTGGCAATCTTCGTTCATTTACTGTCTATTCATTCTGTTAAAGGTGCAGATTTTTGGGACTGTTTTGTTTGCTTTTGTGGAGTTGTGGAAATGGACTGTGTGACTGTGCCACTGGGATGCGTGAATGTGATGACATAAGCTAGTGCTTGGATAAGTCTGATTATTTTTCTCTCTCATGTACTGTTTCCTGATTTTGGACCACATAGTCAATCTGTTGCCTTGCCTCTCTGGTGTTTTTTTTTCTTGAGGGGGGGGAGTAGTTTAAGGATTTTGTAGGGTTTGATTTGAACTAGTACCAGAAAACATGAATAAGGAAACCTGAAATGACTTGAAAGAAGCAGTTCTTTTTCTAGTAAATGCAGAAAGAATTATGAAAGAGGCACTAATGAAATCACTCAATTTAACTGGACTTACTTCAGTGCTTGAAATTTGGTTGGCTGAGGTGGTTACAGATTTAACATTTTCACACAGAACAAAAACACCTGAGCCAGACCTAATTATCCTGCTTCCTTTTTTTCTTCTGCTTCAGGCAGTTCCCCACAAATATGTATATAAGCTTCAGTTTAAGCAAACATTACATGCAGTGATTTTACCTTTAGGTGTGCTCAAGACTACACCACGTTTCTGAAATATTCTAAAATATTAGATGCAAGTCAATATAGAATATCTGCATGTGGTTCAGGGCATACCAGAAGTTGTTGATTATTTGGTTAATGGAAACCTATGTAGTTAGGGACGTGGTGGCACTGCGGGCTAAACCGCAGAAGCCTTTGTGTGCTGCAGGGTCAGAAGACCAGCAGTCATAAGATCGAATCCATACAATGGAGTGAGCTCCCGTCGCTTTGTCCCAGCTCCTCGCCAACCTAGCAGTTCAAAAGCATGTAAATGTGAGTAGATAAATAGGTACCACCTCGGTGGGAAGGTAAACAGTGTTCCATGTATAGCCGCGCTGGCCACGTGACAATGGAAACTGTCTTCGGACAAACACTGGTTCTACGGCTTGGAAACAGGGATAAGTACCACCCCCTACAGTCGAACACGACTAAAACTTCAAGGGGAACCTTTACCTTTAACTTTTTTACCTATGTAGTTACCCACCTCTCTTGCAATTGTATAGTCTCTGAAGGAGAAATGTTAGTCCCTGTTTACTTGTTTACTGAAGCCAAGCATTAGCTTGATTGAAGGCATAATGAACCAATCAATATAAAATACTGAACAAATCTTTACAAAAGTGTGTCCATTTCTTTCCACTGCTGCACACTTTTTAAGTTGAGAAGAAACAAGGAGATTCTGCTTGGTATTTCTGACGATCACCTACATTAAAAATGTGAATATAAACCAGCAGGGGAAAAGCAATCTGCACAATGATTTGTGGATGCAGTGTAAAATATACTGCTTCCACATGAAGAAAACAGAAACAAGCAGTGCCAGCTTAACTAATAGTACCTTGATGGCAGATATTATGGTGCTCTGTAAAAAAAAACTGCAGCCTTCCTGTGGTTCAAATGCAGCATGCATGAATCACACCCTGGCTATAGTTACTGCTTCTCTTGAAACTCCAAATGCTTTTTTGAAAAAGTGTCCTTTAAACAAGTTAACTAATTTGTACTAAGAAAGCTGTGTAACACAACAGGGGCTTATTTTGGGAGAAAGTCCATGAGTTTCAGTAAGGCAGTACAGTACTGCGTATCACTGCCATTCAAATACTTGTATAAAATATCAAACTATAATGTAACATTAAGGCATAATACTTATGAAGGTATGAAACATTAAATATTAATACTATAATTAGTGAAAAATAGCAGAACTATTCCACTTTCAAATTAGAACTTTACGACTGCTTGTGAAACCCACAAGCAACTTGTGTTAAAAAAAAAGGCTTGAAGTTGCACGCCCAAAGGTCCGCAGCGCCCCGCAAACGACCCATGCTGCAGAAGGCGATGCTCGCTGCAAGTTTCATCTTAGCAAGGACCACCGAGTGCAGGGAGTCCTATAGGTGGCATATGTTTCCTAAAGACAGTTCCTTGGCACCATTCATTCATTTACTTATTTTTAAAATATATATATATATCCGTATCCCGCCCATCTAGTGACTACTCTGGGCGGCTAACAACAGTAGAAAGCAACTACTCACCCACCACCCGCAAGTACATATATATTAAGATCCAACAATAACAGCAGCAGCAGCAAGAATAATAAAATAACTAAGCTAAACTTGTTAAAAAAAAATTATATATATATATCCGTATCCCGCCCATGTAGTGACTACTCTGGGCGGCTAACAACAATAGAAAGCAACTACTCACCCACCACCCGCAATAACATATATATTAAGATCCAAACAGCAATAATAAAATAACTAAGCTAAAGTTGTCTTAAATTGTCGGAAGAACAGGCTGCGCTACCAGCTTTCCTCCCCCTCCCAATACCCACATCTAAACTATTCATTGCAGGGACCCTCACCTTAAGCTTCGACACCCCCAGCCCCCCTGCTTGCCTGCAGCGGTGGCTGGGCTTTCCGGTTCCCACTTTGAGAGCCCCGCTCTCCCGGGGCAGCGGCGGCGGAGTGCGGGGAGAGGAAGGGGGGCGACAACCTCCCTTTTCCTGTTTCCCCTGCTCATCATTTCCTCTTCTCCTTCCCGTAGCCCCGCCTTTCCTCCGCCGGGCGCATGCGGGCTTCAGAACACCGCGCGCTGGAAGGCGATGGCGTTTCGAAGTGCGGGGCTGACGCGGTACTTGCTGGTCTTGGCGCAAGAGCACTTGGAATTCCGGCTGCCGGTGAGTTCTGGGCGCGGGAGCCGCCGCTGCATCCTTTGGGGCGCGCGCGGTGGTGGTGGTGGAGCGCGCGCTCCGGCCCGCGCCATTGGTGTGAAGGGGCAGTTACTTAGTCGCGCAGCCCCTACCTCCAGTGAATTTTTTCTACCCCCGCCAGAGAAGCGTGGAAGTGTTTCTCTCCCCTCCCGCCCCCTTCGTTTCCCTGAATATGAAGGAGGTTGGATGGGCGAAGAGACCGGGGCTCATATATCTTGTCTTGCTGGCTATAGTTTTGCTGCCTATATTGTTTATGGAGCAGGTGTGATCCTGGGGACTTCTCATGCAATATACGGGAGAGTGCACAAATTCGGTTCTATAGATTTTACTATAACAATGCAATATGTCACTATCTCCATGGCAATAATTCAACGTTTGCATACTGCCGAGTGCGACTTATGGCAACCCACCTTCTTAGAGTGTCCTAGGCATGTGGTTTACCAGTCCCTCCATCAGGTGGCACGCTGGGATTGTGTTGCCCGAGGCTACATAGGTGGCAAGGCACATAACCGCCCTCAGCAACCCGTGTGCTGGGTGGCCTCCGCTGGTCTGTCTTCTGACAGGCGCAGTGCCCTGCTACTGTGCTACATGATAACATAATTATCATTGAACTTGTGACTACACAGTCAATTACCATGATGCAAAGGCCAAGCCAAACTGGTTTGACCCTTTTTGGTTCCTGGCATGTTTTTCTTCCCCTGTCACTATAGGCTTTTACCTTTTTCAAGGTGGAACTTTCAAACAGACTTTTCCCCCTGTGATCAATTGATTTGTTCTTGTAAAGACAGGGTGTGTCTATGGGTGGTGTCTTGTTAACATATGCAGCTGAGGCGTGATGTTCAGGACCGTGGAAATACCTGCCCCCACATTCTTTCCCTCCAAATTGCCCTCTGAACTTTTTAATTTTTTACATATATGAGATCAGCACTAGATGACCATATCACTAGTGTTGCTATACTAGTTTAGTGCTAAATCGCCTCTGGACAATAAATTTTTTTAAAAAAAATGTGAACAAAACAAAAATAAATGAAAGACATTTCTGATATATGTGGTATTTCTGTACATGTTAAGAACAACTTTGGAATTCTGCCATCTTTTATGGAATGCTTCCAGAACATCCTTTTATGCTTCCCAGACAAGCGAGGCTCAAACCCACCAAACAAAGTTATTCTGTATTGTATGCAACTTATCTAGAGCTGGTCAGGGAGACAGGCCTCCTAATAGCATCTCCTGCAACCTGTTTGTAGTGTTTTTTGAAAAACAAAATAGAGCCCATCTACTGGGACCTTGACTGTCAGAATTCTGCAGTAGATCGAGCTGAGACACCCACTGCACTGGCTTGTTCTAAATCAATTTCAGCCTGTATCTTCATCTGAGCTTCACAGGGTGCTTGGCCGCTGTAAGGGCGACCACAACCTCCCTGGATCCTTGCCTGGCCCGGCTTTTAAAAGCTGCCAGGGTGGTAACAATGGAATGGGCTACTTCAGTCATCGATGTGCCCCTTTCAGGAGGGTCAGGTCCTGTGAACGCTTAAGGAAACTCTTATTAGGCCTATTGGGAAGAAACTGAATGTGGCAGTGGATGATTGCAACAACTACTGTATAGGCCTGTTGCCAGTCTCCCTTTCCTGAGCAGGCTACTGGAGAGGGATGACTGATCAGCTTCAGGCACTCTTGGATGAAACCAGTGCCTTTGAGCCATTCCAGTCTGTGTTTCTTGGGTGGAAATAGATCCTTGTTTTGTCCAAGAATTCAGCACTTCATTTGTTTTCTGGAAAACTGTCTACCCCCACATCGCTATCTAATACGAATAGGACATTTTCTATTTGGATTTTGTGGTCTGTATTTGAAGCAGGTGTTTAAAACTGCCGTGGGCTGATGGTGCTTCAGATTGTCTGTGGTTCTCTATGAATGTCCAAGTCACATCCTACCTTCAGTGTCATACTACCACGTTTCCCCGAAAATAAGACAGGGTCTTATATTAATTTTTGCTCCAAAAACACATTAGGGCTTATTTTCAGGGGATATTTTTTCATGTACAACAATCTACATTTATTCAAATACAGTCATGCCATCCTCTTCTGGTTGCTGCATAATCGTGGAGGCCGGGGCTTCACTTAACTGGGGCTTATTTTTGGGAAAGGGCTTATTTTATGAGCATCCTGAAAAATCATAGTAGTGCTTATTTTCAGGTTAGGCCTTATTTTTGGGGAAACAGGGTAACAGCTGATGACTAGCTGAACAAAACCTCATCTGTCCTGCAGCTGTCCATACCATATGAAAACCAGCACAAGGGGTGAGGTAGATATTAAGCATATGGGGTGGGGAGTTTCAGTGAAGAGACATTGCCTTTTCCTGGTTCCACTGACAAAAGCTCTTCCCTTACCAGAAAAACCCTATGGGATATGGGCCCAAGGTTGCAGTGCTATTGATATTCATTCAACATGTATTCTTGGGACTTACTTTTGGGCAGACATACATACATTGCACTGAAAAAGACTTACAGAGAGACTTACAGGTTCTCAGAATTTGACAGAGGGGCCTCAAATGTGACTTCTCTGAGCAAATTGGTCTCTGAAAGCAACAGACAGCAGCATGTGTTTTAGAGTAAAAGACTGCAGTAGTCTGGGGTGTTGGCTAAAAATTGTTCTTTCTCCAAAAATGTTTGAATATATATTTTTCTGTAATCTTTTCTCTTAGGAAATCCAATCTTTGATTTCCCTCTGTGGTGGACGATTCAGCAGTGAAGAGGAACTGAGATTAAAGGTCAGTATGGCAGTATTTGCAGACCAGGGGACTCTTGAGAGTCCCCTGGACTGCAAAGAGAACAAACCTGTCCATTTTGAAGGAAACCAACCCTGAGTGCTCACTGGGAGGACAGATCCTGAAGCTGAGGCTCCAGTATTTTGTCCATCTCATGAGAAAAGAAGACTCCCTGGAAAATACCCTGATGTTGGGAAAGAGTGAAGGCAAGAGGAGAAGGGGATGACAGGATGAGATGGATGGACAGTGTCTTCGAAGCTACCAACATGAATCTGACCAAACTCAGGGAGGCAGTGGAAGACAGGAAGGCCTGGCGTGCTCTGGTCCATGGGGTCATGAAGAGTTGGACACAACGACTAAAGAACAACAACAGTGGCACTCAGGATTTAGCATTTGTAACCTGTAAATTATTTACCCAATTATTTAGTGAAATGTATATTTTCAAGCTAAGCTAGAATCTTCCTTAATTCAGTAGTGAACTGTGAAGAACTGTATTCTTCGTCTGTAAGTGGTAAAAGCAGAGATTTCATTCAGCAGAATGCATTTTCTTTAGAATTATTGCTCTTTTTCGTTTCAGTCTCCATTTTGGGTTATTAGCCTGCCTTCAGAAGAGATGGCTAGAGGAATAATGAAGCGAACAGTATGTGCAAAGTAAGGATTTATGTTTGTGAAATTCATCTGCAGATGTATGTGGTATGTGTGTGCATAGTGGGGATGGGAGGGAAAAACACTGTCCTTGATGTCACTATATCAATCTTCCATCTTAGTTTTCTGATTCCCTCCCTTCCATACTGTTAAGGCTTTGCACTTGTGTACCGAAACAGCGGTTACTGTTCGCATCAGTGTCCAGGTTAGGTCAGGGGCAAGGAAGAGTGCTTGCCCCCTCCCAAATCCCAAACTTGGTATTTCTTTAAATTTACATGGGTAAAAACTACAGTCAGGTCAACAATCCATTGGTACCATTCATAGACTTACCCTTCCCACACTCCTGGATTGTTTCTGCAGATGCCCTTCTCTGTTAGTGTTGAAAAGGTTCTTTTCTGAACAAGGTATTGTGGAAAGAGGATTTGTGAGACAGCTCTGCTAGAGGGTTTTCACTCTGCACATGTGCCATTAAAATAGATAAAGCTGACACAGTTGCAGTGGTTGGCGGAATAATCTATTGTGTAGCTATTTGTAGTAATCTTTGTGACAGTTTTTTCAGTGGGAAAATAATGTGTTGCATTTGTAAGGCAACAAGGAAGGACATCTAGGAACAGTTTCTCCTCTTACTGAATGTAACTTAAATATTATGACACTTCCAGATCTATATTCGAACTGTGGGGCCTTGGGAAATCTGTAGAAGAGTTGTACTCATCCTTGAAGAATTATCCAGTAGAGAAAATGGTTTGTATAGAAGTTGTTTGTTTTTGTTAAGCCGTTTTGGAACTTTTTATACAGTTGTACCTGGTAGCACATTGTGCCATGCGCTAACCCAAACTTTTGTATTGTTTTAGGCGCCATATTTGCAGTCCAACATTACATACAAAATAAAAGTTCAGGCTTTTAACAAAACGCTAACACAAATAGAGAAGATTCAAAGGATAGATGTAAGTAAACAATGACCTCTGGAAATAATTGCTGCTGTTTATATTCTTTCATGATGGTACAGAGTAAATATAGTCATATAAGGTTGTGCATACATCCTGTCGCTGCAGCATTTACTCTGCACCATCTGAAGTTGGTAACTTCATGCCTATAGAGTAGCATCTCAGTGAAATGTATCAATGTTTTTCATTTTTCATACTTACTTAGGAATGTAAACAACAAAATACTTAATTAAAAACTTGGTTTAGATATGTATGTAGTTTATGTTAATTATTATATATATAATTGATGATTATGTGTCATCAAGTCAATAATCAGGGTTTTCTAGTTAGAGAATACTGAGAAGTGATTCACCATTCCCTTCTTTTGGGGGCACCCTGGGACTGTGCAGCTTATCCAAGGCTACACAATTTGACTTTTCTTTTGAGAGGAACAGTGGGAAATTAAACTCACTAGCCCAAGGCCCAATTCGCTGAGCTGTGGTGTTTTGCCATGAGATTTTTTTTCTCCTACTACAACTACACAATTCATTACAAATTCCCCTGGTCAAAATTTTCACAGCTGTAGTACAAAATCCAGTCCTTAGAAGTGGTTCATCACACATATCTGAGGCCCAGCGTGTTCCTCTCTGCAGCCATTGCAAAGCGAGAGAACCAAGCTCCATGAGAACTACAGGGGGTTGTGGGACTGGTAGTCTCTCTGCTCATTCCACTCTCTACAGAGTAGCTCTCAAAAAAAGCCCCTGGTCAAAATTTTCACAGCTGTAGTACAAAATCCAGTCCTTAGAAGTGGTTCATCACACATATCTGAGGCCCAGCGTGTTCCTCTCTGCAGCCATTGCAAAGCGAGAGAACCAAGCTCCATGAGAACTACAGGGGGTTGTGGGACTGGTAGTCTCTCTGTTCATTCCGCTCTCTACAGAGTAGCTCTCAAAAAAACCTACCAATCCCACAACCCCTTCTAGTTCCCACTGAGCCTAGCAAGTCCAACCCATTCTCTCCCTTTGCAGCAGCTATAGAGAAGAAGATGCTGAGCCTCAATCGTCCTCTGAGGACTTGGTTGGTTTTTCTGTTTTGTTTTGCCTATAGCTGCCAGAATTCTGAACAGAGGAATTTGTGATGATATGTAGTAGCTGTAGTGAAAAAATCTGAAAACCCTGTGCCTAATGGCTTTGCTCAAATATTATAAATACTGTATCTTTTAATTTATATAGCTTCAGTTACTCTGGTGCTGACATCTTTCTCCCTTGGCCCTCTTGGCGAGTTAGGATTTTGCTCTTAGTCACCTGTACACATTTTCTGTTTCAACAATTGTTATTATTCTTGATTGCGGTGTTTCCAAAATTATAACGAAAAAGGGATTAAAAAACTCATATACGTTAACAATAACTTACATAAAATAATTTTTTTTTGTTCTGGCTTGTTTCCATTACCACCATAATACAGTCACTAGACTTTTTACCATTTGAAGGAAAAGTGAATTTAGAGAAACCAGATCATATATTTGGGTTTCTAGAAGATTATGGAACGGATCCAAACAATATCCCAGAAAAGCCAGTTGTCTTGTATTTTGGGAGATGGGTGAGTAGTTTGTTGAATTTATAATGAAACAACCAAATGATATTTTTTAATGTTAGCATGAGGGAGGGAGGGAGTTGATAGTGGGAATAAAATTTCAGGGCCACATATTTTTGTATTTTACCTAATATCTTTTTAATAATTTAAGGAACTTTGAACATGTAGGTTAAGATAAGGAAGAAATACTGTGGTATGCTGTGCTACTTTCATCTTTCTAATATGAAGTAGAAAGTACAGTGGTGCCTCGCATGACAGGCACCCCGTTTAATGACAAATCTGCACAGCGACAATGTTTTTGCGATCGCTTTTCCTATGGGGAAAAATCGCTTTGCGATGATCGGTAAGCTGTTTCGCTTAACGATTTTCGCATAGCGATGTTTTTTCCCCAGCTGATTGGCAGTTCCAAAATGGCCGCTGAGTAAAACAGGGATGGATTCCTCGCTTACTTGGCAGCCAAAATGGCTGCCGTATGGAGGATTTTCGCTTAAAAGGTAAGTTTTAAGCCCATAGGAACGCATTGAAGGGGTTTCAATGCATTCCTATGGGCTTTTTAATTTCGCATAGCGACGAATCTGTATAGCGATGATTTTTGCTGCATGGATTATCGTCGCTATGTGGGGCACCACTGTATATCTGCGTGCTGTTCATTTAAGAGTACATGTTTTGGGAAGAAAAAAAATCTGATATCCTGGGTATTTTTCAGCAACTAAAGTACATTTTTTCCCTTGTTCTTCCCCTATTTCACAGATTGCAAATGGCCAAAGGGACCTCATTGAGTCATACAGTGTAAAAAAGAGGCATTTTATTGGGAACACAAGTATGGATGCCTGCTTGGCATTTATCATGGCAAACCATGGGAGAGTAAAAGCAAATGATGTTGTATTTGATCCGTTTGTGGGAACAGGTATCACTTCCCATTTTCTTCTTCCTGGAAAAGTGAACAAATTATTTGTAAGCAGTCTTTGCATGTTTCAAACTTGTATTTTTGTTCAGTGACCTCCTAGCATTCTTTCGTAGCTGCTAATGTGTACAAAACATTTTTTTAAGTTTGAAGAAGTTATTTTTGTTAAGTTGTATACCAACAATATCACAATTGCTTGCTGTGTTCGATAGGATGATTTTAAAAAATCCTTCCAATTAGCTTTTTTTCTGATATAGCATTGGAGGGCATTTTTATCACATCTATGTGGTCATTGTGACATAAGCTCCTTGTGGAAAAAAAAATTAAAAATTAGTATAAACTATACTTAAGTGGTAGTGGACTGAGTTTGGAATGAAGAATTTTTGAAATAATTTAATATGGGAAAGAAAGACTTTTTTGACAGAAAAGGTGAAAATCTGAAGGAAAATTTCAAGGACCTGTATTTTTCTAGGTTCCCTACAGTTCCATGTATGGGTACCCAGTGTGGATACAGTGGCAGACTAGGACTCTCGGGCTTGGATCCCCACTGAGCCATGGAAACTCACTGGTGGGGGGGAATGGAACTGCTAAAGCCACTCCTTAAATATCCCACTTACCTTGAAAGCTCTCTTCAGGTTGCTATAAGTCAATTCCGACCTGACGACACATAACAACAACAAAGTTTCACATTGAGCTGATGACAAGACTTGTATTATTGAATAACGTACAGATTCTTGCTTTCATCCTAATTGGCAGCAATGGGGTACACCCTTGGCTTAAAACAGTTGTTCAGGTTAGACAGTCATGTGAACTCTCTGATTGCACCTATTACCTTGTATCTGCTAAACATCTAAATATAACAGTAACAAAAATGAAAGAGTTGTGGTGCCTTAAAGATTATCAGGTGTATTTCATTATGTATTTTCATGCATTACAATCCACTTCCTTTGGCACAAGCTCCATTTTTTTGTTTTTATTTTTGTGAGACATAATGAAACAGACTAAACATGGCTACCTCTTTGAAAACATCTAAGCATGCAGAATATTCAGCTATTATACTTTCCTGAAGGCGCTGTGGGAATTCTGTTTCTTTAAAGTCCTGATAATTCTTTTTTTGCCTCTTTCAGCAAAACTTACTGTGTGCATTCCACATACAGAGCTTGCAGTACTCAACTCTTCATACCAGGGAAAACAATGAGCCAGATGTTAGCAGTTATATTTTACCAAGTGAATATTCAAGTTGCATATACTTCTGCTTCTAATGACCTTTCTACTTAGTCATTTCAAATCTCAGCCAGGATACAATAGAATTGTTTTGCTCAGTGAAACTGGGGGCACATGATCCTCCCCCACCCCTACAGTCCCACATTCACCCTTGGAGCCTGCTCCAGCAGGCTAAGAAACAAAAATGAAACAGAAATGAAGAAAAAAAGTCTTAATATATTGTCAATTAATAACTGGTGGAACATGTAAGCCTTGTTCTGGTTGTCTCTCAGAGAATATTGAATTTAGCGTTACCTTTTTGAAGAAATTACCTTTAAATATGAAGACTAACATCCTGTGCAATGGTCTTTTTTCTTATCTTACAGGTGGACTTCTTATAGCTTCAGCACACTTTGGAGCATATGTATGTGGAACAGATATAGATTATAACACAGTACATGGACTAGGTATGTTCTTTCACTACATATCAGTGCAAATGTGTACAACAAAGTAGCAGCTTTGTATGTCCCAAAACAACTTCAAGATCTTGAAGAGGAATCAAAGTCATCTTGAAGGAATCATGATGCAGGTGAAACCACTTCATGTAATTCACCTGAGAGATCTACTCTTGGGATTTACTTTTAATTCATATTGAAATATAGATGGTCAGTTACACAGGACTTACAGTGAAGTTATGGGTAACTTAGAAATCCTACTAGACATATCCAGCATCTTGAGTCCATCAAAACACCCAGCTGCAATCTTAGAAGTGTTCCATTTGTTCCTAACAGGCTGTGATTGGGCTGGTTTGTTTAGTTATTTTAAATCAGGAGTCTCCAAACTTTTCAGTATGAGGGCCACATCATCTATTTTACACATTTTCGAGGGAAGGGGGAGTGGGGGATCACTTGGGTCCTCCTTCCCTCCACTTCTTATGCCTGGCCTGGATAAAAAGGCAAGGCGGACCAGATGTGGCCTGCAGACCATAGTTTGGAGAACCCTGTTTTAAAAGAACGTACTCTTAAACATGATGGGATTTTAGCATTCATAATACAAAGCTTTGTTTATGACACACTATGCTGAGAAAATTAGATATGTCTAATTGAGATTCATATTGCAATCAGGCAGTATGAAGCCCTAAAAAATGCCTGCAGTGACCCAATCTTCTTTTTACATGTAGTCTATGCCTTGTATTAAGAGGGGCTTTTACATCTCATCTATGGTAAGGTCTGTGACCTATTTACAATTCCATGTGAGGATGTACAATGAGAGACACAGGCCAAAATCCAATACAGTGGTGCCTCGCTAGACAGTTACCCCGCATGACAGTTTTTTTGCTAGACATTGACTTTTTGCAATCGCTATGGGGGAATTTCACTGGACAATGTTTGGTCCCTGCTTCGCAAACCAATTTTCGCTAGACGACTATTTTGACAGCTCCCTCCGCGCTTGCAAAACAGGTGTTTTCGGGACCTAAGCTTCGCAAGACAGCAATTTAAACAGCTGATCGGCAGTTTGCAAAGCGGCTTTCCTATGGCTGATCTTCACTAGACAGCAACGATTCTTCCCCATTGGAACGCATTAAACAGATTTCAATGCATTCCAACGAGGAAATGCTTTTTGCTAGACAATGATTTTGCTAAACAGCGATTTCAGTGGAACGGATTATCATCGTCTAACAAGGCACCACTGTATTATATTTCAGTATTGAATTCCATTGGAGTTGGTATTTTTGACTTCCTATTCATTTGGAGTTGGGACTTTCTTCATTTCCTATTGCAACTTTCTGTGATGCCAAAAAATCTATTCTGTATGATTTGACATCCCATTAGGTCAGTATTTTAGGGTGCATGGAAGATTACACTGGAAACAAGGTCAGTGATTCCAGAAGAAGGAATGGACAGCAAAAGTACCTGATTGGATTCCAGATGTTCATTGAGATTGTAAATTTAATGGATGAGTTCAATTTTTATATGTTACCCAGGGAGCGTGTTGAGAATAAAGGTGCATTGCAGATATCTCAGACTACTTTACACACAACTGTACCTGTGTGGGTTTGATTGAATCCAAGAGAAATAGAAAGTACTGCCATGAAGGTTGTTTTATTGTGCTAATTACAAAAAGAGATTAAATTTCTTGTATTTATTAGATTGTGCAGCTTTGCAAATATGCTTGTGATAGATTTAATGAAGTGTATTTGTCAGATTTTATTTATGCAACAAAAATATTATAGTTCTAAATGAATTATAGTATGGAACAGAGGAACACTGCTGATTATTTTCTTCCAATCTCATATGACATTAACTTGGTTTTCTTCACTCTCTATTACTCCAAGGCAAAGCTAGCAGAAGGAGCCAAAAGTGGAGAGGGCCTGATGAAAATATTAGAGCCAACCTTCGGCAGTATGGTTTGGAAAACCACTATCTTGATGTATTACTTTCTGATGCATCAAAGCCTATATGGAGGAAGCAAGTACAGTTTGATGTAATAATCACAGATCGTAAGTTGATTCATAGTCTAAAATATGTGTGATTGATAAATGTAGTATATAGTAATGACAGTAATGGCGATGGTGAAAACTTATGAACTTCTTTATTTGTTCCCAGTGCTTTAAATTGAACTTTAGAACAGAGATATCCAAGCTAGAAACAAGTGCATTAGCTATTTACAGGAAATAAGAAGGCCAATATCGGCTGAAATCCTGTTGCTTAGCATAGTAAATTACAGTAGAGTAGGCCCAGTGATTCAGTAAAGGTTTTGTGAGTCAATTCCTCTGTATGTTCCATTGATTCAAAATGTGCCTGCTCTAGTTGCAACATGCTAAACTAAGCAACAGGATTTCAGCCAATATTTGGCCCACTTACTTCCTGTAAATAACTAGCTTTTAGTGTAGTACACAAAGCAACAATATTTCAACCTTAGAGTCTCAGCTGAAGTTTTCAATACATTTTATGTTGCATAAAATAATGTCTAATGGGGCAGATCTCAGTAATTTGCAACTGTTTAGTGGTATAAGAACTTGCTTCCTGTGAATGACCATACTGCAGATTTTCATAATTATACCACCTTCCCCCTGACAGAAAGGTGTTCCTGTCTCAGATACTTTGCCTCTCAACAGATGTCAACATAACTGAAATCTCCCATCATTACTACATCACACCTTTTTGAAATTCTCTTTGAAATTCTTGCAGTTTGTTTTTCAAAGGTTCCATCCGCATCTTCTCCTTGATTAGGCGGTTGATAGTAGACTAACTATATTCCTTTTTTTTTTCTTGTTCCAGTTATATTAATCTAGATGCTGTTGATAGGGCAATCAAGTTCATCCTACTGTAGTTCTGTGCAGGAATATGTATTTTTGACATATACTATGACTTCAGGTCCCTTTCTATTCTTTCTGCGCTTTTTGAACAATTTGTGTCCTTCATTTGCGGTATTCCAGTCATGGGAGTCATTCCGCCAACTTTCAATTATTCCTATAAAGTCATAGTTACACTTCTGAACTAACATTTCCAGTTCTTGTTTGTTTCCCATACTCCTGGCATTTGTATATCAATACCGGTGTTTGTATTATTTGTATTAATTCTGCTACAGTATATGTTTAAAAAGATGATAGGCTTGAATAGGAAATAAGAGAGCATTCCAGACTTCCAGGAAGGAAGACTAATGTGATATATTACTTGCCACTTCCAAAGTCTGGCTGCTTATGACTGTGACAAAAACTGCAGGACGGTGGGTTTTGGATGTTTTTGGAATCCCCCTAAATTGAAATTGCTATAAAATGGAAGTGATTTGAATAGCCCATCTTTGATTAACTGCACTGTAAATTCCTCAGACAGCTCTCTAAAGATTGTGATTTTATTAAATATATCTTATTGTTCTAGTTCATTTGAGTTGCCCAAATTTGCTTACAAGTGAAATAAAATCAAACACAGTAAACAAATTTGAGGTAACAAAAGGCATGAAATAAAAGAGAAACCAAGGGACAGAAGTGGATTGGGGGAAAAAGTAGTCTGATCACAGTCTACTGAAATACCATTTTCAAAATAGCCTTGGGCATTGATAGTGGTGTAGAAGCTAGACAATACCCCCTGAGGCAACACTCTGTTAGCTGGCTGGTACTTTGTGCAAGACACATTCTTATGTCATTATTAGTGGCAATAACAGAGTTTAAAGCTTAACAAATTTGCCATACCATAATCATTTGTGAAGTAGAATCCATTTCATCAGCCTGGGCATTGTATGGTGGTAGAAGGAGGCGGCTTCCAGTGATGGGGTTGAGTAGGCAGCTTCACATGAAAGGAGATTTGCCCCTTAAATGTCTAAGAACTTGACATGTAGGCCTTTAAAAGTGACAACTAACCCCTTGAGTTGAATTGGAATGGTCTTCAGGCAGTGTAATCAATATAACAACAGAACGATACACTGTGTAACTGGGAGCTTCTATGAGAAATCTGGCTCTTATGTTCTGTACCAGCAGTTTTCTACATATGTTGTACAAATGGATGTATCTCCACATATCTTTCCCTGCATAGCTCCATATGGCATACGAGAAGCCACCAGAAGAACTGGTTCACAGAAGGAAATGGCTAAAATAGCAGAAAAGGGGTAGGTAAACCTTGGTGTTGAGAATTTAGGTATCTGAATAGAAAGCCAGCTATGGCTTTAGGAGCATTTGCCAAACATTGTAGCCTTCTGTTAAACCAGTGACAAATCTGACAGTGCTGTTTTTAATGGTATACTTACATGGAAAGACCATTCTATCAGCATGTCTCGTATTTTTCCTGTAAAGTCTGGGAGTAAGAATTTGGCAACTATGTATGGAACTCATAAGGATTTGAGCATCACAGTCTGTCACTTGGTGTGCATGTTGAGATAATGACATAGTATGGAGTGGGAAACTATTGGAAAAGCCTGTTCAGTAATGTTTATGGGAGATTCTCTTTCGGATTCATTACATAGTTTGTATTTAATTGCTTAGGAGCCTCATGGTATAGTGGTTAAACAGCAGTACTGCAGTCAAAACTCTGCTCACAACGCATGTTCAGTCCCAGGTCGCTGGCTTGAGGTTGACTCAGCCTTCCATCCTTCCAAGGTTGGTAAACTGAGTACCCAGGTCATGAGGAAGGGTAATGTGTAGCCTGCATAATTAAATGGTAAACCACCTAGAGAGTGCTTTAAGTGCTACAGGGTGGTATATAAACAACACTTAATTTTTTTTTCTGAGATCCATTTTCTATTTTTATTTATTGTTGTCCATCCATTTCACTTCTGGATCTCTGGCCCAGTTTGTATCCCTCTTATGTCCAGCATTAAACTTTGTGAAATTCAGATATCTCTGAAGTACCTTATGTATATATTTTCTCTCAGTTTTATGAGGTTGTACAAACTAGGCATTATTTCTGTATTTTTAATTTTAAGGGTAGGAGACTTGCAAGACTTGTGAGGATGACTGCATATTTGTTTTCTGTAAATGCAAATAATGTAGCTGCTATCAAATTAATTGTATTTTAAAATGCTATCTAGCACTGAAAATCATATCGCAGTTTCTTCAAAGTATCGTCTGTGTGACATCCTGTTCGATCTGTTAAAATTTGCGGCTGAATACCTGGTGACTGGAGGAAGACTGGTCTACTGGCTTCCTGTGTACAAACCTGAGTAGGTGTGCCTTCAAAACATGAATATTTTGCACCTGAAATTTTTTCTTGTGTGGCATCTACTGTAGCTCTGCTTTTAGAAATATGGAGTAGGAGTGCAGTGTGAAAGCCACTTGGAATGCCAAGGTCACAGGTTTCATTAGCTGTTAGTCTTATTAGTGTCTAGGATGCAAATATACTAGATGTTTGGGAAGCAATAGAAATTGAGTTGTTCTGAATGGATTCTGCTGATTCAATCAACTGGCATCAGAATGACAGAAGGTGTCACTATGTATTGTACATTATGTGCTGGCTGGTTGGATACTTCAGTGGTTTAGGTATCTGGCTGTGGAGCTAGAGGTTGGGAGTTGAATTATCCACTATGCCTCTGAGTACAGCCAACCTGTATGGCCTTGGTCAAGCTGCACAGCCCCAAGGTAGCTCCAGAAGGAAAGAATGGTAAACCATTTCTGTGTATTCTCTACCTGGAAAACCCTGAAAAGAGTTTCCATAAGTCAGAATTGACTCCATGACACACAGTTATTATTTATTATTACAATATGGCCAGGAAGGAGATCTTGGTGAGAGACTATTAGGAAACAGGATGCAGCAAATATTTATTTTAAATGGAATATTTCTGATTCAGTTTATCAGTAAAGAATGTAGAGACTGGGAAGTACATACATAAGGATGAGATCTGTATCCTGCTCTTCCATCGCTGAGCTCAGGATGGCAGTAGCATATTTGTTGGATGTAACACTGAAAAAGCGGCCAAGCTTTGTAGAAAGAACAGATCTTATTCGAATTCGGGTTGGCAGACAACTTTTCATAATCCTTTTAAATGACTTGGGTGCTGAAGTGTGAAGGAAATCCACATGAAACATTCTTTTCCAATGTAAAGCCAAACGTCCACCTGTGTTTTTTCTTTTGTTCTTTCTTTGTGCTATGCATACGGCTATGGATTCTGAAAGCAATTAGCACACATTGTTTATGGGAAATTTAATAAGGCTGTGAACCATGTGGAAGTGTATAGTCTAATTCAGTTTGAGTGAACCCCTCTAGCTGTTCTGTTTCAGATTCACATATTACAGTTTGTAAGCACTTGCAGCTCTTTGATTGTTTATTTCTTCCAGATACACAGAAGAGATTATACCCCAGCACCCATGTCTGAAACTTATTAGCAACTGTGAACAGACACTTTCCAGTCACATGTCAAGACGCCTGATAACCATGGAAAAGGTGAAAGAATTTGAGGTAATTGTTGCGATGAGCTAAAGTACAAAATAGATGTCATAAGATAACAGTTTTTTTTCAGGTGTTCAAACTTAGGCAATTTACTATACCTGAGTGGATTCTGAAAAGTGTGTTTATGAGATGAGTTTTAGAAGGTTTGTATAATGATCATAAATGTCAAAGCAAAAGCAAAAGCACTTGGGCTTATGGACCTGGGTAGCAGTGAATTAAGGGAACTTTCTAGTTTCATCTCCCTTTGATGTATGTGTTGTTGGTGTTACGTGGTTTTTTAAAAATTTATTTATTTAAATAAAGTTCTTCAAATGATTCCCAATGTAGTATAGTACAGCGGTCCTCAATCTTTTTCGGTCTGCAGACCAGCTGGGGAAGGCAGGGCACGCCCATGCACATGTGCAAACAAGCACGAGATCTCTCTCGCATGGGTGCATGAGTGATCATGCGCAGATGGCGGTGTGGCACTCGCACGGGCGTGCTGGAGCGTGTTTGCAGGTGTAAATGGGCTGTGCAGGGGTAAGTGCATGCGGGGGGTGGTGGGGTGGGAGGTCTGTCTCAGCAGCCTACTCTAGCTCAGGTCACGGACCAGCACTGGACCGGGGGTTGGGGACCTCTGGTATTTTTTTTATTTATTTATTTATTTATTTATTTATTTATTTATTTATTTATTTATTTATTTATTTATTTATTTATTTATTTATTTATTTATTATTAGATTTTTATCCTGCCCTTCTAGACAGGAATCTGTATAGTAGATACAACAATGGACTAGGACTCTGGAGAACAGGGTTCAAATCCCCACTTGGCCATGAAAATGTACTGGGGGAAGAGAACTGGTAAAACCTTAAACATTTCACTTACCTTGAAAGCCATGTTAGGGACACTATACTGTATTTTGGTTCTGACTTGATGGGCCAGAAGACACACACACACACAAAGTTCTTAATGGAGAGGATTCTTCTAGTTTTAGTGTTATTATTTTGATTTTGAGCTGCTGTTACCTGCAGCTGAAGTAATAATAATTGTTAATATCACTGTACTATCTGCTACAGGCAATTCAATAGCAAGGATGCATTTGAGATATATTGGACTACAAGTTCCATGATCTCCATATAGTCTGAGGTGATGGGTTTTGTCATTTGATACCTCTGGAGGAGCCTGATTGTGGAAGGCTGTTTTGCCACTTTAACATCTTTGCATTTATGAATGCTCATGTGCACTTGCCCAGGTTTATGTATGTTGTTGCCATCAGTATGTGATTTGATGATGATTTCTGTACCTAAACTTTCAAGGTTATTTCAGAAGCATATTACTTGAGATCACTCAGACATTTTGCTGTGATAAATATGAATGCTACTTAGTTGATATTAGAGATTTGGGCTTTGTGCTTCACAGGAAGAGCTGCTGCCCAGGTGTTCCTAATTCCTCTCTTCCCTTCCCCCAGTCCACTTACCAAGCTCCGCAAGCAGCCGGGGTCCTACTGCATTAGTGGCGCACCAATCAACTCTAGAGCCCAACTGGCCTGTCCCTGCCTCCCCAGACAACTGACCACTCCAGTGGGGAGCCAGGAGGGAGAGTTTCCCCACACAGCCAAGGAATGGTCGGCTTGTTGGGGAGGAGCACTTGGGCAGTGATGCTTTGTACGAAGCAAAAAAGCCCCTATCTCTAGTTGATATGAGAACAACCATAGTTTCTTTTGAATTCTTTTTTTTAAAAAAAAAATCTGTTAGTACTGCATCTTGAAAGTAGGATTTTTAAAAAATCTTTCTTACCATTTAGTGTCAAAGAATTTGTGGGGTTTTCTAAATTTAAGGAGACTGGGACAAAGCAACAACATACCGGTAATCTTATTTTTTTGCCATGAAAGCAGGAATATACTGAAGAGAGTTTGTGCTGCTAATACAGTTCTGGTTTTAAGATATTCTTGGGCTTTTACCTGTGCAACATTCACTTTTTCTTCCTATACCCTTAACAGATTTTTGTTCTCAGGACAATATAAACAGTGTACAGTAAATAAAAGATATAATAAAAAAGGCATAGTATATGAAAGTTAAAATAGCAACAGCCCCTTTGGATAACAAAAACATTCAACCTGTTTGAAGGTTTAACATTAGTACATGTTTCATCTGAGTCACCTGAGCTGCATGTGATATATGAGTCTGCCAGGGATCTGTGGCCCAGTTGCTACTATGCTGGCATGCTAGCATTTCACAATTTACTTTTGGGTACTCAGTGCTATGTAGGCAAGAGTGGCAATATCAGGAGAAGGACATGATCCACGTTACATTCCTTTACATGCTCAGAGAGGGTTCCTATGTAGCAGTAAAGATATGATTCATACAGTACAGTATATGAGAAAAGGAAGGATGCTAATATTTGTTTTAAACTGTTTGAAATTGAAAGAAATGATTAAGCGAGTTTGTTTGAAATTGACAAAAACTGTTTAAGATCTTTCCATGCCTTAAGCAATCAGCTTTGTACATGGACATGTACATGAAAGTGGTACAGCATGACATGAAACATATTTTCAAAGGCTTTCCGATCCCAAAGCTGTATTTTATAAAACAGTAGCTATAAAAAACAACCAGGGGTTCTTGGAGTTTATTCTGTTGACCTTTGAGATGCTATGGTTAGAAGGAAATTCTTCCAAAAGAATCTGGCCAAAATTTGGTGTTTATAGATTTAAAGCAAAGGCTTAATACAATATTAGTCTTGCCTAGAGTAAATCCTTTGAAATGAACTGAGTTTGTTAGTAAGTTAAGTTCCACCAATTTCAGTGCGTCTGCCGTACGTAGGGCTAACATTGCATTAACCCAAAGTACCTATATAGTTAGTAGAATAACGCTTGTTTTCAAGCATAATTCAAGAGTTGTTGATGTATCCAGGTCTAGTATTCCTTGCCCTTCCTGTGGCCGGAGATTAGACACAGTGAGCAGAAGGACTGATATTAGTAGCTTATAGTTTATATTATAACTCTTAACATCATGCATACTTTTTCTGTAGTTATGCATGCACACCCATCCTAGCTGTATCTTCTTATACTGGCATAAATACCTGTCACCTTGTGCTTACACAGTGTTCAATGAACACTCATTTTACAAATTCCTGACTATTGATTTTTTTGTGGGTAGCTGAATTTGTGTTGGATTGCAAATACAATTTTGCAAAAGCCCCTCCCTTTTTTCTTCCTCATTTAAACCACTCTGGCTCTGTATTTCCCTTCAGAATTGTATCAGTGTTAATCAATTAAATTTTGAGATCTCAGCACAACTCAGTTTATGAGAGCCTGTTATAAGAGCAGCAAATACCTAATAATCTTCTCTTGAGAATGTTTGATTGGCAGGTAGAATTTCCTTTATATCCTGCATTCTCTTAAGGATTTGCCAGCATAATCCTCCTGCTGACTCCAACCTCTCAACATAGAAGTTATTTCAAAAGTCAGATTCATAAGCATGTGGGATATAATGCCGAATGATATGTATGTGTTGGCATGCTTTGCTGCTTTGGCGAGCTTTGTGTGTAGTTTGAGTTCAGAAATATTTAAAGATAGAGCTACTTAAAATTTCAAAGATTACTACTAATTTGTTACAAGCATCAGTCATACATGTGTGCGGGCAGGTGTGCATATTACTGTGTTATTGATTTTTAATTATTTCAGTGAGAACTATTCTGGGTAGTCATGTATATATTCAGTAAGTGTGATAAAATGTGAAATGTAAAACTCTGTTTTATCAAATGTGTGCAGACATTTGGTGAAACACTGGCATTTGGGTACACTTGCCTTGTTTTTATTGGTTTATTTTTGGCTTAATAAATTTTCTCTTACCCTTCAGTTCTTTTGTAAAAATAATTTGCATGGATCAAAGGAGTAATTTTTTTGCAACCACAGTGTTGTACCTCCTTAATGGTATTGGTGTATGTCTCGCCTGGAGCCTAAGTAAATGCTGCTGACAGATAAATGGCACAATATTTATTTATTATTATTATTTATTTTTTAAAAAATATTTTGCCCCACATTTTTAAAAAAAAAACGACCAAGGCAGTCTACGTCGTTTAAAAAGACAATATTGAAAGCTAAACTCAAACTGAATGAAGTCAGCTGAATGCTACAAATCCTCAAAATAGACAACTTTTACTAGTGCTAGTAAAACAAGTCATAACTCCCCATCTGAAAATGATCAGTGAGTGGGACAGTTATACCTTCCCCAGTTGAGAATGCTGTAGCTTAAATGTTCTTGTTCCACATTCTACCTAAGAATAGCTTAGAAGAGAGAGGGAGGGAGGTGCCTGTTTAATTGGCCGGCACGTTGATAACAGGATGTAAATGTCATTTAAATAACCTCATCCCAAACGATGTAGCACTTTTTAAACCAACCAGAATCCTCAGTTAGGCCGAGATAAAAACAGAAAGTCAGTGAAGATCAGGCAGAACTCTTGTGATGCAGTCCAAAAAGTAAAGACAGAAAATGAACCTGACTGCTTCATTTTGCATCAGCTGCAGGTGTCTGAGCAACTGATACTGTTGTTATCTACCTGACTTGTCCGCCAATCCCCAGTAGGATCCACCTTATCAAATAGAAAGGCCTGAATTTTTTATTCTCATTTATGAAAATCAGATTTGGATAGAAGATCCAGTTCTATCCCACGTAAACAAGACATTCCAAAGCAACAAGGCGATGGAAGAAATTTTGAATCCCAGATTATGGATGCTGTTTGTATATCTGTAGTAGCTGAAAGACTGAACTACAGATCGTGTGTAGTTATGCAGAGTTTCCATTGCTCACTCTTTTTTGGGTGAGGTACTATACATCCTATATCCTCTGAATTAGTTAGCTGTCACCCATATTGACTGGGGTTCCTGGAAGCTGTAGTCCAAAATCCTCAATTTTTGCAATTTATTTATTTATTTTATTTATATCCTGCCTATCTGGTCGGATCAGGACCACTCTAGGCGGCTAAATTGAGTTAAAAGCTGAATTTTATCTCTGCCATGAACTCACTTGGTTGTTTCGAAGTAAGTACTCTTATCAGCCTCCATGATCAGGATATTGTAATACTAGCACATTGACTGAAATCTGTCAATAAACTGCAACTAGAACAGTCCCATTGAATCAATGGAACTTACCGACGAGTTGACTCACCAAATGCACTCTGATTCAGCGGGACTATTCTAGTTGTGACTTCAGTCCGGGTTTCAGCCATGTACTGTAAATGCTTTTCCCTCAAGAGTTGAAATCAGTCCCCACTTTCCACTACTTTGAGCCTGTTCTTTTCTTCAGACTGTCCTTTTGACAATTTTCATGTTTATCACTTACTGATTTTTAATGGTTTTATTGCTCAGTTTGTTTTAAGTATTATTTTTTCCTTTATGTCTGAAAGCATAGATGCTCTTGAACTGAAACTTGCCTTAACCCTATCCAGCATAGTCAGTCTTGAAAGGTGATGGAAATTGCTGCCCAGTAATGTTTGGAGGGCTGCATATTCCGCATCTTAGCCTTTGAACAAAAGATCTGGTTTCTGCTGCAGCAATATTATGGCAGGAGACATGTAATGTTTCTTATAGTATTAATTATCACAGGATGATCTGTTCCATTCAACATGCTTGTTCACCAGTGTAGGTTTTTAGGAATAAGCAACAACTATGATTTGGATTTGAGATTATTTTTTAATTATTGTTTCAAGGCTATCTTATTTCATTGCTTTATGTGGTGTGTATGTCTTTTTTTAACATTATATAGGATGAAGATCGTGACTCTTACATATTGGATAATCAGTGTCTGCTATACAAAAGTCATAATTCCTTTCGAGATAAATATTTCAGCGGAGTAACAAAGAGGATGGCCAAAGAAGAAAAAGACAGCCAGAAATAATTATTTTTAAGACTGGAAGCAAATAACTCGCAAGATTTGCATTTGGCTATTGAAACATCTGGACCTCAATATTATGTGGATGCTTGAGAGAACAACTACTGTTTTTAATTTTTTTTAAATTCAAAGCAAAAGCCACAACAGAAGAACAGTTCCTTTTCATTAAATTTGTTTATACCAGATTATTGCACAACCTTTTAAAAAAATTCTTATTTAATTTATTTTTGTATTTCAAGTTCTAATAATGATTGACTACAGCCATTATTGCTATTATACTTCTAGGCCAGTATCTTTGCAAAACCTAGTAGTATTGTTTGGCTTCTTAAACTCTGAACATCTGGAAACCTGAAACAGACATAAAATAATGATTTTTTTTTAAAAATTGCAGATTTGATTTCATTTGGTTTCATCTTTTGTGAGTGATAGCTAATAAAGTCAGCAAAGGGTTGTTGCTAAGTTTTAAAACTGCAGAATGCTACAGTAGCTTCTTATTTCTTATTAACATCTATGAAGTGGGAGGGGGGGAAATCCCTGTTTTTTCCATCCAGGATGCAGAAGCTAATAAGACCCCCAAGTCCAGGATATGTTTAAAATTCACTTGTGTTTTGCGTCTTGTACTGCTTTTTTAAAAGATTAGACTGTTACCATTTCTCATATTTTTATTGGTATTTTTAGATTATTTAAAAAGCACTATTTCAAAATAAGTTTATTGTTTATGTTTTGCTAATGACCTTACATTATATTGCTATAGAAAAGCAGGGAGTAGAAGGAAAAAGTATCTCCCTTCAACTTCTTTGAGTCTCCCATGCAAATCCCAATTGCTTCCATGTCTCCAAATTACTCTTTAGTGGCAAATGTCCTTCCTTTGAGACAGAATCCCCCCATTAATGGAAGTGGTTCTGATCTGGTAGATGTTGCTCTTAGGGAGGAAGAGGTTGTGATTTTTGCCAGTTTCGTTTTTCCTATATTAAACCCTCTATACCCAGTTTGGAGGATCCTTCAACCCCTCAACAGCAGGTTTCCATGGGCCTTGAGGGGTTATGGGGAAAAAGAAGCATTGGCAGAATCACTGCATAGCTTCCTATGAGTGTGGCTCATGAATGACTGTTCATGAATATTGGAATCTGAGCCAGACGACAGTGGAGGACAAGTGAACAAAAAAGATTCAACAGCAGTTCTGTGCCAGAGTAGCATTTGCACTCATGGGGCGGAATATAAATCAAGTGAAATAAAATAAATAAAAGCAAGCCAAAAAAAAAAATCTAAAAGGGAATTTTTTTAAAAAAAAAAGTTTCTATATTTGAGAAAGAGTGAGATCAGTGTGAGGCTAATAAAAGTATTCCAAAGATAGAGAGTTGTAACAGAAAGGACTCTGTATCCAACCACCATGTTTCAGAGGAGCCTGAAGAAGGGCCACCAACATAGTCTGAAAATCTGTGAGGGTTTCATATGGTAAAGCAAAGTGCTTGAAGCACTCTCTTCTACAATTTAATTTTGCAGGCTACACCCAAGTGCATTGGGTATACATTTTATCAACCTCAGAAGGATGGAAGGTTGAGTCAGCCCCCTTGAGTCCATAGGGATCAAACTCAGGCCATGAGCAGAGTCTTCACTGCAGTTTAACCACTGTGCTGTGAAGCTCCTTATAACCCACACTGCTGAGGCAGTTTATAAAATGTATTTTCCTTAAGGTGTCTAGTTGCTGTTTCTGGTTAGCAACTGCGGGTATGATGATCTGGCATACAACTAGAATTTTAGGTGCCATTTGGGTTAAAACACTTAGCTGGTTGACATGAATTACAATGCAAACACATTTCACTCGGTGTGCAAAATAGAGATACTGTTTCTAGGTACTCTTGGGTAGGTTTTCAGACACTCAATAATCATGTTTTGGGAACCTAGCCATAATTTATAGTACCATATGGACAAGCTCTGTTTCTTATAGCAGTAAAATTCTTTTATCATTTTTTTTCTGGCCAGCGATGTTAAATGTAAAACATAATACAACTATCAGGCGTAATGAAGAGAAGAAACGGCAGCATTACAACAGAAATAGACCTCACCTTGAAAACCTAAGTGAATTAAAACCTTTAATGACAGTCAGTAAACTTAAGCACTGAGTTTGGCCTCCCTTGGGAAGCTTTTTCCAGAGCAGCACCATTACAGACAGAGCTCTCCCTTGGGCATGACAAGTGTTTTCCACCTCTGAAGAGGAAGGAAGGTACCTGAAGCGGGGCCTCCCTCATTCAATCCCTGCAAGTTTTCTGTGACCTGTTCCCACCCTTAGAGAAGGATAGCTTCATTTTCCTGCCAGAAACTGGTCATTTGCTGCAGCAACAACCCAGGGTTTTTTTGGAGCCTTGTAGCCAAAATGACTCCAGCCTGTGCTAAATTCCAGTCTTTTGCCTCTGGCGGAGACGGTCTGTTCAAAAGCCTGCTCTGAAATCATTGCCTCTGACAGTTCTTTGGGGTGCTTTGAAGATTTTTCCAGTATTTTAAAATATTGTTTTTGGACCACTGTTTTTTCTTACCACTCTTTTATTGCTGCAGTATGCAGGAGAAGGAAAGAGGTTTGACCTTATTTCACAGAGCAGCAGATATTCATATGGAGCTTTTGCCTCCCCCTCAACCAGCACAAGAGAGCAAGATGTACACAAGTCCAGAATATAATTTTTTTTCTTAGCTGATAAAAGATTCATCTGTCCTTGTTTATGCGGCTTGGGAATAAGGCACGATGAGGAATGCAGTTACTTGAGGCACATTAATGACTGACTGTTCTTTTTTTAAATGAGGGCATAAGGAAATTTCAAAAGTAATGAAAAAGTAACTTTTTTCTACTTATTTTTAATACGTAGTTGTTTTTAATAACCATTATAGGGATCATTTGAGTGTTTGAAGTTTTACACTGTTTCATCATTTCTGAGGGTTGTTATCCACTGTAATGTGGTGAACAGAGTGGCAGAACAGGACTCAGGAGACCAGGGTTCAAATCCATGCTCTGCCGTGAAAATGTATGGATGAAAGGAGACTAGTAAAATTCTTAAATATCTCACTTACCTTGAAAGCCCTATTAGATGTCACTGTACACCGGTTCCAACTTGACAGCACATAACACACAAAAGATTTTTAAATTAGCATTATTAACAAGCACTGATATAAGCTTATGTTACTAAGGTAAAGGTTCCCCTTGACAATCTTTGTCCAGTCATGTTCGACTCTAGGGGGCGGTGCTCATCCCCGTTTCCAGGCCATAGAGCCAGCGTTTGTCCGAAGACAATCTTCCGTGGTCACATGGCAAGTGCAACTTAGACAAGGAACGCTGTTACCTTCCCACCGAGGTGGTCCCTATTTATCTACTCGCATTTGCATGCTTTCGAACCGCTAGGTTGGCAGGAGCTGGGACACGTGACGGGCACTCACTCCGTTGCATGGATTCGCTCTTACGACTGCTTGGTCTTCTGACCCTGCAGCACAGGCTTCTGCGGTTTAGCCCACAGCGCCACCACGTCCCTTATGTTACTAAAAATATATCAATTATAACGTACTTTTCTGGGGCTTTGTAATGAGTTATGTAACAATTCATGTTTTTTAAAAAACCAGCTTGCCATGCTGTAGATGCCTCAGCATGGAAGATTGGCCACTTCCATTCAAATGACCTCAAAAATGGCCATTAAAAATAACTTTTAAAAGTAAATGGAAAATGAGTTGTTTTACTTTTGAATTATCAATTCATTATGCTCTCAAGGTATTGTTTTAGACAGAAAGGCAGAATACCAACATGGCTGCTCCACAGGTGCCTTCCTTACATTCAAGGGACATTTACCTGTCAAGGGACACTCAGGCTGATCATGGGGTGCAGTTTCTGCAAGTAGAAGATTATACCTGTTCTGTGTGTTACTGATTGGTAATGTATGTGTACGCGCAGTACACACCTTATATCATCAAGAAAGAAGGTGCACATCCTGGTGCAATTTTGCAGATTTTGGTGAGGATGATGAATGGATAAAGTCTTGTGCAGTGCTTCAGTTTTAGTAAAGATGAACACACTTTATCTGTCTTGATGCTGCGGACGTAGGGGCCAGATTGACAGCTGGGTAAGGCCTGCGATAAAGCAAAAAGGAAGCCAACATGTGCTGGGTCTCAGGAGTTCTGTTTTCAACTCATGTCTATTTTTATGATGACTTGCTGAATAGAAAGTATTTCGTCTGATATAGCTTTAAACATTTCCCCCAATCCATTTGACTTCAGGAGATGTGCAAAGCAACAGAAACCTCTGTTTGCTATCTTGGACGTGATTGGAATGATACTATTCAGTGACTTACTCTACTGATCCATTGTGTAAAGATGGAAGGGCCTGGGTTGCACTAACCTTTCTATAATCCTAAAAGTTCTATTTCTGTATGAACTTTAAAAAAAAAACGACACATGAATGGAGTGTATCAGTGGAACAGGAGTTTTGATACTTCGGTAGGTAGCTTATTAATAGCGTAATTGTGCTTGGGAATGGAAAGTAAAGTATTATTGGGTATCTAATTATATGCTAAATGAGTTGCAAATTTGTATTGGGTTGGATACAAGAGAATAATTTCATATATGCAGCTTGAGCATCTTGGGGAGAGGTTGGGATGTTATTCATACTGAGCAAAATGAAAATCCTTCAAAGACAGATATTATCCCCTTGGATTGCAGTTCCCATCATCTCAAGCCAGGATGGTCACTAGTCTGCTAGCTATGGATGACAGAAGCTTTAACCCAATACTTTTGGAAGGTAATAGTTTGTGGAAAGGTACGTTAAGTCAAAGCCTTCATCCCATGTGGCTGAGGTAGAAGAGGCAGTATTGTATATGTGCTCTTGGAGAGTCACACAGGGCAAAAGGTCAGAAAGGTGAGTGAAATCCTTTAAGAGAAAAGGGCACTTTTAGGCAGCTGTGAATTGCATTCTTGAAAGAGCACAGTTTATGTCTGCATAGTAATAAACGAAAGAGAGTGTGGAGTGGAGGACCTGTAGCAACACCAGTGGACCTGCAGCAACTCCAAGAAGACAATCCTGACATTAATGTAACAGAATGGGAAGGAGATATGTCGCAGTGGCTAACACCATTAGATTGGAGAATCCTCAAGGTTGGACTAGAGCACGGGATGAAGCGTATCCCTCTCCATCAGAAAGGTCTGGGAAGAATTTTATCTCACAATATATGAAGCTAACGTCTGCTTTGTTAAGTGTATTAAATATGTCAGAACTTTTCTTCAGTGTGAGGTATTAAGTCAGATAACACCGAGGTATATTGCAGTTGGGCAATACATGAAGAGTGTTCTACCATTTTAACCTTTGATAACGTCCATTTCATTCAAGAGTAGAGGTTGAATGTTCATTTAGTTACATTATTAGAATCCATTACTGTCTCTTGAGTACTGGTGCTTTCCTGCTTTTATTGTGACAAGCTCCAGCTTGGAGCTGTTAAAGGACACCAATTTTGTTTGAGGAATAAATTACCGGCCAAAAATACAACGGCAGACAAAGGATGGAGATTTGAATTTCTAAATTACTGTTATATAATAAAAAAAGAAAGGGAAAACATTCATACTTTCAGAAGGAA